GAGAGAGAGAGAGAGAGAGAGAGAGAGAGAGAGAGAGAGAGAGAGAGAGATTGGTGACTTTGGGATTTGACGACATTTGGATCCGGACTCGACATTGGGATTCAGACATTTGACGAGGGATTATTTGGGACTGTACCGAAGACTTGGTGTTCACGACATTCCCATCTTCCCCTCTTCTTCGTCTGTGTATAGTTGGGGACTGGCACATTCTTCCTGTGTGAGCGCCAGGCCCCTTTACACCATGGAATGATGATGATGTATGCTTGGTCTGCATAGCAACATTGATTGATCGGATCATTGGTATTTAAGCCTTCCGCTGTGTTATATTGTGTACTTTGTGAGAGAGGTCGGTTCTTATTCTGGTCTGTACCGTTGCGGTATGCAACAGTAGGTTCTGAGTAGCGGTAGGCAGGGCGCTGGGCGACATTCAAGAAGGGCGAAATTGGACACAATGTGGATGGTGGCGAGAGAAGGCCGACATTGACAGTTGGGTTCATTATATTGCCCTTATTTGACTTGCATCTCAGCGCATCGTGCTTTCTGCTTGGGACACGACTCTCTGGTCTTCAATGTGATATGCAATTTGGTTGTGTGTATTGCTCTTGCTCATTTTCCTTGCACTGGTTATTACGGGGCACAATTGCGAGCATAGTAAACGACACACTGAGATGGAAGAAGTGGCATCCTGCAGGTCCACAGGCATGCGGACCTCTCAGGAGCACATGAAGAAAAACAGCAAACAGCATATGATTCTCACATCCACCAGCAACTCGATCAGTTAGATTTCCTGGTGTCCCAGACCCTGGACCTGATCTGTTCTTGCATTAGACATAATATTTGACATTCTCAGACTAGACCGGGAGTGAGAGGAACAATAGGTACAGGCAATCTGACAGTCAATCCTTCATGAACGCTGGTCAGGGGGCCAAGACGGAAGGAAGCGTAGAGTGCGTTACATTGTATTCAATTTTCATTCTTGCCAGTGGAATGGAACCGGACTGATGCTCACCAGAATGGGCAAGGAGCTAGGACCATAACGATCTTACTTCTTTTCTTTCTTCAGATGGGAAAATGCACCCCATGCAGCTGAATGGTGAACACAGCCTGCGTTCAAACCCTGATGATGAATCAGATGAAGACAATAATGTTAGGGCAACCCCCTTTAAGAAAAGGATGGGTAAATATCGGGCAAATGAGCATGGTCTGCAACTCACCCCTTGAGCCATTCAAGTGCTCGTTAAGAGTCCCATTTGGCATATATTCGTAAACCAGCATCTGCTCTGGACCCTCAGTGCAAAAGCCCACAAGATTTACAAGATTCCTGTGGTGCAGTCTCAGCAGCAAGGCAACCTCCGTCGAAAACTCTCGATCTCCCTGCTGTGATTCCTTGTCTAGTCGCTTAATCGCAACTTCCTCACCATCTCGTAGAACTCCTTTGTAGACCTTTCCATACCCACCTTTCCCCAGTACATTCCTCTCGGAAAAATTGTTGGTTACGCGCTTCAGTTCCTCGAACCTGAATATGCGGGCACCCTTGAACTGAATCTGAGGCTCATTGTCATCCCCCCCAACCGTAATTGCTGTGCATTTATGACAGAACACGCAAACGACAAAGCCAGTCGCAGGTTACCTCTAGACAAAGGAAACTAGTTAAAAAAACGCAAAGCAGAGGAAAAAAGTTGAAGACTACAGCTAAAAATTACAATGTATGTCCTTCGGGACAACCACTAAAATTGGAACGATACAGAGAAGATTAGCATGGGCCCTGCACCACAATGACACTCATGAAAAAGAAGAAGCATTCAGGCTAGTTTCTCATTTAAGTTTAGACAGCCTTAGGGCTGAGAGGCCAGGCTGCAGAGGTCATACTACGAAAGCATAACCAAAGCTTGGTAAAGCTCCCAGTGGTCTCGGTTGTAATATTGTGCACAAGGGATGTTGTGCCCATTTTCCAGAAGGTGCTCCCCACCAATGGACTGGAGCCAACCATTAGAAAGTCTGGATCCCAGTGGCGCTCTTATCACCATGGGGACCACAGGACTTTGCAAGATGTTTCTTTTTTTCTTTTTTTTTTAAATTACAATGCATGAGCTCTGGAAGTGACACAGTTGCTCCTCAGCATCAATTCCATTCTCCATTGATAGCAACATCCATTCCCAAATTCATACATGCACCACCAACACCTAAGATGAACTTCAGAAAGACCATGCAAGGATGAAGCTCAAAGAAGATGCAATCAGACTCGCTTTCACTTCCACTTCACACACATACAAACAGATGGAGATTCACACCAGTGCAGGGCGCCCACTCAAAGCTTAGAGATACGGAAATCAAGAACACAGTTCAGATGCAAGTTCACTTCAACAGGCTATGGCACACCGGCGCCTGAACATTGCAACCTTCGTCACTGTGTCCAACCCCACTGTTCACACATGCTCACTCTGGATCACCCTGAATACCACCACACACACACACTTAATCTCACTTCCTCCTACAGCGGCTATGGCCGCACTACCACTACTGGCTATGGCTACGATCTCCCTTCAGCCCACTTCATCTTCGGGCAACCTGCAGACCACCTTCGCACAAGATGCTGTAGCAGCGCTTCCGCATGGCTTACGCAGCGAATGAATGAATGGCTGGGCGCTCCCTCTTGATTTATACTTCTATAACTCGTTGGTCTGCCCCTCTCCACCAGGCCTATGGTGCACACAGTCCCTCATGGTACTTGCTTGACTGGACTGGGACTGACTGGACCGGTACCGCTGACTGCATGGGTTTGCACTGCCAACTCAATGCAGTCGCACTGCCGACGTAATGCAGCTGGGCTCACCACTTGCCCACTTGCCTCTGACTAAAACGTGAGGCAGCCTTGAAAGGCCACTTCCGGACCTTCCGGGAGTCTGTGGACTTGGCCTTTCGAGTACTGTGGCAGCAACGACCTTGACCTTTCAGGACTGTAGCAGCTACAACCTTGACCTTTCAGGATTCCTACAGCTACGACCTCTACAGAACTGTGACTCCTACTTGACAGATCTACAGATCGAACCCCTACCATTACACAGACCTACGACAGACAACAACAACTCTCAAAACACAGGTCACGGGTTCAAACACTCGGGGTCGACACAGATACTGTACACAGGTAAGGTGAGGACTAGGGATCGAGCCCTGGGACCTGCATCCGCTACTGCTAACAGGTGAATACCGTTTCACTCCCGCCGGACTAAATTCGAGGTCCTCCGAGAATAGCTCAGTCTAAGGCAGGACCTTTTCCCTTCCTTTCTCTCTCGTAGGCTCTCACCATGTCGGGAGCTGATTCTAGAAGTTCAGTCCTAGTAAACCAGCGATCGTCCTCGGGTTCCTGATATGCAAATCGAACCTTATACTGTTTCTGTGGACGACCTCTACCTCCTGTTCTGAATACGTCTTCACCTACAATGCCGTCAATGTCGTATCTTCCGTCCATGTCCAGTAGAGGATTATGTAGAGGGAGTCCAGGCGTACTTCCGCCTAGAGAAAGATGGGAAGGTGGAGAGAGTTCTCCATTCCCTGACTCTCCTCATAGAGGATAACCTTCCCTTCGATATAATCCTAGGAATGGACTGGGGAGAGGCAGCAGGGGCCACACTCCATTTGAGAGAGCATGAGTGTAGGCTCCCTTGCCCATCAGGCGGGGTCAAGACTGCCCGTCTGTTTCATGTGTCAGGAGTAGACAACTCCCTGGCACATTGCTGCCTTAACGCTCCTGCGTTTGCGAGGTTAGTGAAGGAGCAGCTAGAAAAACATGTTTTTGTAGCCTACGTTAGGCCGGTCACTGAACCTAAAGAGGAAAACCCCTTAGATCCTGCTATTGCCAAGCTGTTGGAAGAGTACACAGACCTAGGGAAGCCGCCGACGGGGGTAGTCCCGCGGTCTATCCAGCATCGCATTGAGATAGAGCCTGGCAGTAGGACTCCTAAAGGAGCAGTGTACAGGATGTCCCCGCGGGAGTTGGAGGAGTTGCGCAAGCAGTTAGATGAACTCCTAGAGAAGGGTTGGATTAGGCCCAGTTCGTCTCCATTTGGAGCACCTGTTCTATTTATCCCCAAGAAGGAGGGAAAGCTTATAATGTGCATTGACTATAGGGGTCTCAATGCTATTACAGTGAAGAATGCGGAGCCACTACCCCGTATAGATGATCTTTTAGATCGGGTGCAGGGTTGCAAGTATTTTTCAAAGATAGATCTGAAGTCCGGATATCATCAACTAGAGGTCCATCCTGATGATCAGTATAAGACCGTATTTCGGACTAGATATGGGCACTACGAGTTTATAGTTATGCCCTTTGGACTAACCAACACGCCAACAACTTTGCAGCGTTGTATGAATGACTTGTTTAGGTCGTTGTTATGACCCGGACCAATTGCGAAGTACAAATTCACCAATAAAGCACAATGCTGCCCAATTGCAAAAGAAATGAATGAACTTGAGAGGATTGAGAGGATAAGAAGAAGAAGAAGTAGTAGTAAGAAGGAAGAAGATGAAGTACACCAGCAAAGAACCAATGTCAAAGCACTTCTCCTTCGCTCAACTTCTCAACTCCATATGTCCCCCTCTCTTATATTCAAACAAGAATTATTGCAACAATGCTGACCAGCTGATCCAGAATCAAA